TAATCAGGCATAGCTCCGAATTGAGACCCTTGGTGCTTCCCGAGTTTTCCATCCATTCTGCAGGGAAGACGTGCATTCTGCAACGACCAGCAACACTTCAAAATAAGGGACTCATAAAAAAAAGACCGTGACTACCTATATTACATCCCAACACGGAATTTCAACGGACAGGCGCACTGATGTAGCTCCATGATCCCATTCTCTGAGTCTTTCTAGGTAGGGTGGATCACGTCCGAACGACCGAGCTGAGCGTGTATCAGCACAACGGGAGGAGGTGTGGAATCGAGTTGAAGCGCGAATAGTACCTATTTCACGACTCGCTTTACCATGCTGTAATGCATCTCTCCCAAGATGAAGCCATTCGACGCTAGATCTTCAAACCCGGCATTGAGATACAACCTCCTCCCCGGCCCCGTTCCCAGGACATAACCCTCTTTGCCCTCGTCTCTGGCCTTGTCCTGGCCCCAACGTATCAGCATTGAGCCAATACCCTGCCGCTGATGGGTGGGGCTTACGGCGATGGTCTGGAGAGCTGCTCCCTTACCACGTTAACATCAGAGATACAAGCTTCGGGTGCACAGCTACCCTCAACTTACTCCACATATTTTTGTCTCCCTCTTCCCCAAGCGCCTCTTGCTTAAACTGTTCGGCCGTTTCTGCAACTTCTTCATTGCAGCAACGTCCATGCAGGCCGGGAACCCGCCTGTGCGCTTCGAGGCTTCCTGCAGTCTCTCGTCGGCGCTCTTGTACTTATTACTGTCGGAGCCGTCAAGTTGGGGCTTCTGCCGCTGGGCCTAGCCAGCGATCTCTTCTCCGGCGCCATCCTTGGTGCAGACCGCTACAGTAGCCAGCCGATCAGGGAAACGGGTGAGGTTAAGCGTAGACCGGAGCGAACTGACACGGTAGCTAAACATATCCTCTTTGCCAGTTGCGGTGCGCAAGCGCTCGGGGCAGATATGCGAGTCGACTGTGTTCCCAGCGCCGTTGAAGGCGTCCGTGGCGATACGCATCATGGCGACGGCATCGCCTTCGGTTGCCGTGCGGGCGCTGTAGGAAGATGACATGTTGACTTGATCTGGCATAGGATGCATCAATTGTGTCTGGTGATCATCACAGCAAAATAGTTTAAGTTGTGAAGCTGTGAATCAGAGGTGTCAGTGACTCACACCAGCCTGCCTCATCGGCCCATTTCATAGAGCTCATTTCATAACCGCTGGTTATCACAGGGTAACATCCGCGGATGTCATAACTCCGCACCCCATGCGAGGACGTCTAAAACGTGTAAATCTCATCGGAACATTTCAGCCGCGACTGAACCAACCTAGACAGGTGCATATAAAGCCACTGCCCACATACATCACCTTCCTCATCGGGTATGCTTGCGCCTCACAAGCTGTCATAATAGTAGTGTGAGTCGAAACTTGGAAGTCGCCGATGCGCAGAATATCTCCCTGGATACATTATCATCAACTTGGCAGTGGACTTGAAAATAGGCAAGTATGTATGTTGGTGGATCATGTACAAGAATATGAATAGAATAATGTATCCAGGGAAATATTCTAGATCCTCCTCATGGAAAAACGCCATTCTTATGCGCCCCGGCCATCGTGATGCATCCCTAATCCCCAATACAACCAAATCCTGGGCCCGCCTCTCATAAATTCATAAAAGAAAAATCATTCGTAATGGCTCATAAAAGTCGTGAGTGCCTCGGCTACGATCGGCCGAGGACGGGGTATCAATTCATTTTCTTCCTCCAGGCAATCTCAGCCTTCTTCCCTCAAAACCCAGTTCAAGTTGTGTTTTGATACACGGCCCTGAGGTTGCGACCTCCGGCCCCAACCTCGGCCGGAGTCGGCAATCTTCGCAGGGCCCGAGGAGTCTGGTTGAACGCGCGGGGCGTCTCTTTCATACTCCTCAACCCTGGAGATGCCGGCGGTGTCGGCGGCATCGCCATTGGTGGTGTCGGCGGCGCTGCCAGCGTTCGTGGACTCGTGCCGACATCAGTCGCAACGCGGTCAACGAAGGGCCGAAGAGCAGCCAGGCCAGGTCTCGGGCCGGGCCGGTCGGGACCCGGCTCGGCGGAGCGCGGTCGTCGCAGGATCGGGTCGGCTGTTCGGCCCTTGGACGGCGAAGAGGATAGCGTCTGCGCGCTCTTGGTGAGCCGCACGCTCAAGTCCCGCCGGACCTGGAAGGGGTTGGAGCGAAGTGGGTCAAACTCGAGAGGCACACCGCGTTTGTTGGGGCGGGCGTCGTCTGACGACCCCCGCCGGCTGCGGGGTGGTGATGCGATGGGCTGCGGCTTCGTGACGACAATCTTTACTTCCGATGTTCCCTTGCTGTTTGGTTTCTCGATGTCCCCGGCACTCAACTCCTTGATGGACAAGCGCTTGAGCTCTGCAAGCCTCGCTTCGCCCGATAGCTCAAAAACAGCTGTCCAGAGCATCCCCTCGGCCCCAATCTCGGGCGACTCGGCGCTGGGTTGATTTTCGATGAGGCGCTCGCGGTCGTCTTGTGTCGCCGAAGAGGTGGAGCTCTCGAAGGAGCTCCGGGACAGGAGATTCGGGCTGCTCTTGAAGGTGTTTTTTACAGCAAGGTACACTTTGTTGGTGAGTGTCGACGGGCACGGCGACGACGGGCGGCTGTAAGGGAGGGATGTGTAAGATGCTTTCGACACAAAGGTCGGTTGTCTTGTCTCGGGCGAAGACAGGGGAACTGGCGCCGAGATGTGCCAATTCTTGGGGCTCCCCGACTCAAGGTCCCGGCACCAGTCGGGTCTCCTCGCTCGTCGGGATACGACATAGCCTATGGACAGGAGTGTGAGGCTCGTGCAGCACAGCGCAGCCACGGCAGCTGGCCTAACAGCCCCTTGGTGCTGGATGATGTAGACGATGGTGAATGCCCCAAGGGCGGCGGCAAATACGACCAGTGGGACCAACAGACACAGCTCAAGCCGAGTGAAGGCGCGGCGACTCCTCTTATGTACCACGGGACCATCGTCGGCCTCTGGGTGTGATTGGAGCTTTGTGAATTTCCAGCGACCCATGGCGACGGTGGGTAAGGCAGACTGGGCGATGTGTTCGAGTGGCTCAGTGGATGTTGGAGCAGGAGGCACTGGGCTGTCAGGATCTCTGGTACCGGATCTGGAAGGGTTGGGCTTTCTATATGGATGTATGAATGTATAAGATTTGGTTCTCACAGTAGGTTCTGACGGCGTGCATTTCTCGAAGGCCTCCCACGCCACATAGGGCTGATCGGGATATATCACCATGTAGAACCCATCCTCCAGACGCCCCAGCACACGGGCACATTGCGTCTGTCCCGTCCGTGAGTTGCGAAGCACAAAACCGGGGCCGTTGCGTTCCGTTCCCAGTAGAAAGATGTGGCGTCCAAAATACAGCGTATTGCACTTTACCCGCAGCGGGCGATGGAGCGACGACGGAGCGCCAAGGGGCACAGCCCGGTTCGTGATGCAATGGAGATGCAATAGGGCTGCGGGGGGTCGTAGCGTGGCCAGTCAGCTAAGTCGAGTCATCGAACCGCGCCCCGCGGCTGGCTTTGCTTACCGCAGCATGCTAGTGGCTCAAATCTCCATCCGGCGCTTTCACGTCTCTTGTGTCTCTGTTGCACCACGACTGATCGGTAGTAGAAGGAGAGGGCGCGACAGGTGCAGAGGAGGTGCGAGGGGCCCACCCGCTACGTTACCGTCATTCGGGTAGACAACGTTGGGCACAGAGGCACCGGACGCTAGTAGCACGGTCTATACACCGCTTGGTTGTTCCAGTGCTGCCTGTGAGTGCTGCCTGTGGCGGGCCGAATCGTTCTGAGGCTCATCGCCATTCATGATTCGAGCCGGCTTTCCTGTTGCAGTTTCCTGTTGCGGTGGGCTGTGCGGGATTGTAGGAGCTCTTCGCCGACGTGATTCGGAAGTTTCAATATCGCTCTTGTCGCAGACCTGATTCCGAGCCGAGTTCGACCAGCGGCGATGGCCGGCACTAGGTTACCTAGCCAATGCCCAGCCGACACCAAACGGGGACTCACGGTTGGTAGCAACTGCCTGTGGTCTTACAAAGTGCCCCCACTGCATAGCAGCAAGTCGACATGACAACGCCGAGCAGGCTCATTGCAATGATTGCATCCGTGTGTGACAAACAGACAGGACAGTCATCTCGCCACTCTGTCTTTCCGATGTTTTCGACAGTGTACCCACCATCCCCCAGAACACGCCGGAAAAGACAGGAGAGGTGTAAGAAAGAGCGAGTGCGAGTTTGACAGCAGGATGACACATGTCGTGGTAATTCGCGGTCATCAACTCTCAAATTCCAATTGCCATCCCGCCCAATCTTGCCCCACTCCAGCCGGTGCCGCGCGATCGGGCTGGAAGTTTTCCAGAAGACAGTCGTGATTGCTAATAGGCTGTGGCAACGGCGAGGTTAGCAGAGCCCACCCAGCACTGCGTTCCTCCCCTCATGCAACCCAGCCTGTGTCCGTACCACCTTGCACCACATTGGAAGAGGCTGCTCCCCCAATCGTGAGATTCTTTCCATGCTCCATCCACTGATCTGATTTGATACTGCCAGCTCGGCAGCTCCAATACCCAATACCCGTGCACACTTCAGCGTCACCGGTCTGGGACTCGAGGCTCTTTGATCGACTCGACACATCTTGTCGTGGCTGTTTTGCCTACCGGTTTGCCTGCCGACCTGGGCAACTGCAGTCACGTAGACAAAAAAATGTCCCGCACACGAGTAACTGGGCTATTTGCTGAACATGACCGGGAGTTGACCCGAATCCACAATGCAAGCCCCATCAAACATCCCTTCAAACCCGCCCCCCCATCATGCAAGGCCAAGCCGTCCACGCCGTCATCCTGCCGCACCCGAAGCCACATCCCCACACCAACTCGACCAACCACACCAAGAGTTTCCACCTCAGCAAAACTAGCCTATCCTTCGCCCAAATGCGTGATTACGATGTTGCGACACTATCCAGCAAGCAACGAGCGTGTAGCGCAGTTGGTAGCGCCTTCGCTTTGCATCAGTGGTGTGTCTGCGAAAGGTCTCGAGTTTGAGGTCTTGAGGTCTTGACTCGTTCAGTTCCAGCGACCGTGGTCTAGTGGTTAGGATTCAACCCTTCCAAGGCTGAGGGAGGGGTTCGATTTCCTTCGGTCGCATATCTGTACTCCCCGGGGGTACTGTCTTCTTTTCGTCTAAACTGTCTCTATTTTCTTTTGCTTCTAAGTTGAGGTAAACAAAAAACAGAAGGGAAACAACAGACAACGAGACAACCTTTGTCGGCGGAAGTCACTGGTTGGGGCAGGACAACAAGCGTTATCTTTTGTATGTGCTCTCTCGTTTGGCTGGCGGCGCGGGTTTGAGATGAAAAGGTGGAAAGGTTGGAAAGGTGGGCATAGGTGAAGCACCAGTAGCACGCAAGGCAAAGCAGGAGCGTGTGGAAATGCAGCAGCCATTACTTCCTCCCCGCGCTGAGAAGAGCGGCGGCATCGAAACTCGCAGCCAAAACGCAACCATAACCTGCGTGGGGTAACCCAGATTCTTCAACATTACTTGAATCCTTCTTCGCGAACCAAAGACACCTGAGCACCTCGGAGAAGTTGCCAACATGCGTTCCCTCTTCCTCATTCTTGCCTTCCTAGGCCACTCCCTGGTCTCGGCCTGGCTGGGCTGTGACGTTTGCGTTCTCTCGCATAACCACGTTTTGCGCGTCATCTGCAAGGCGCCTCGCATCGCTACAACCACAATCGTGGGGGCCCGGGACACCTCAAGCGCCGTGGTTGTCTCCCAGCTGGACCTAGGCCACTGCCTTGTCAACAATGGTGGGAAGCTGGAATCTGGCGAGAAGTAAGCATTTTGCGCCCGCCATCTATTTCGGTATTGACAAACCTGTCTAGTGGCAACTATCATGATAGCTGCGACTCTTGCCTGATCAGCTGGAACGAAACAGCGAATCTGGACTGCTTTTGCAAGCACAGGAACTTGACTTGGGTCCAGACAAGTCTCAGCCTCGGTACGGCTCTCCCTAGACCCTCGTTGCGCCCTCAACATACAGAGTACAAGGTCGTAGGACCTTACTAATCCCTCGCTGGCCCTCCTCAGAAGGCATCCTTGACAGCACGAATGGATACATCAGCTGCTTTGGCAACAAATACCGCAGCGAGTTGCATGACAGTTGCTGAGTAAGCTGCAGGCCCGGCTTTCCGTCTTGTAAGCTTGACTAACACCTCTACAACCAGGAGCATCCAGTGATCGGTAGATTGTTTCATACAGTTGATCTAGCGAGTATCCTATGAACTTCTTCTTTCCCGGTTACCCATCAGAAACCGGTCCTCTGATTCCGATAAACAGGTGGCATTTCCGAAGCTAGAGATCCGGGGGGGGGGGGGTTACCTCAGTTACCGGTTACCTCGATGGCCTCCTATCATACTATAGAAGCCTAGCAACGGCGCCAAATGCCTACCTATTCGATGAACCTCGTCTTACTAAAGAGAGATGATGTTGCATACTGCGGATGATTGAGCCCCTTTGATTCTAGCAAATCGCAACTTTGGCATTTGCTTGATCCCCCCTCCGGCCACTTCCCAAAGCCAAATCGCCCTCCCAAAGGTTCCATGCTTTTCCTCTGCTTCGGCCAACGATAGCTTGACTACTTCGTCAGCAACACGTCTCAACTTGCCCTCGTCATCAAACTCGTCGGCGAATTCAAGATCGCCCGATGCCAGTTCGAAATCCATGCTCCTCCCCTTGCTTTCCAACAAAACCGTTATACTCTGTAGCCCCGGCGGCGGCCCCATGGCAAAACTCGACACAAAAAACGACCCAGCCTCCGCGCACTGCGGAACCGGCGGCAAGTCGCCGGCCCGAATGACCATGTGGCTGAAATCTCGCATCTCGTCCGCCCTGACAACCTCTTTGACGGGGCGCGGTAACTCCCACCCCCACAGAAGGCGGGCATAGCCGGGCCCGATGTGCCCGGCGCCCGGGCTGCGCACGAAGAGCAGGTCGCGCCGCGGATTGACGTCGAGCAGCGGGCTGAGGTGGGCGTCGCCGAAGCCGGGCAGGCCTGGGAGCGTGGACCGCGCGAGGCGTCGCTGTACGACGGCCCGGCTCTCGGAGTACGTGCGGTTGAGAGTCCAGGCGGTGCTCGTGGCCAGGAGGGATTTCTTGTTGATGCACCGGAACTTGGTGGTGCTGCGGTCCGGGCTCGGGGCGGTGGTCGGGGGCGGTGCGTCCCACTTGGGTATGTCCTCGATGAAGGCGCGACGGCCCGTGAACTCAATGTTGATGATGCGTGGTCTTGTGGCGTCCTCGTGTCCGATGCAAAGGACGAACTCCCATATCTCGTCTCGCAGCTCGGGGGGGAGGCGACCGAATCGACCGAAGCCGGCTGTCACTGTTTTTGGCGCCATTGGCGTTGGAGCTGGTGACGTGTCTGCTTGGTCGGCGGGATGAGAATGTTGGTTGGGGAGATGACGGGCCCGGTGTAAGCGAGCTCGAAGGATCGGTTACGGTTGGTGTGAGTAAAAGGGAGGTGTTAGTGACGGCCGGTAAGCCGGAGGATTTGTGGTCGAGATGTTGAAATGTGTGATGAATTCTCAAATTCGTAAAGCATGAGCCGAGAGATGGGGCTGAAGAAGGAGTGGAAAATTGCTGGTGCGGTGGTCATATGACATTTATGCCTTGGTTTAGGCTGTGGAAGCACCAGTGAGATAAAGTCAGCTTATGAATTTTTCCCCGGGACGAGAAAAATTTATCAGAGGGAAGTGGTAGAAGAGAAACAAGCTTTCTTTGTGACTAGATTTCTGGGCGAGGCTGGGAGGACATTGAAAATAAGGCAAAAAAGGACGCCTCAAATTTATATGGGAAAGATTCACACGATTGTGCAATAAGATGGCATGGTTCCTGGCCCATGATTGGCTCCTTGCCATGAGCAGCAGCACAATAGCACCTGGGTACCTTACTCAAACCATAGCGCAATCAGAATTGTCCTATTGTCACATTCGCTAACAGCCCAATCTTGTCACGAACAATATTGGTGGGAATGCGCTGATTCGATGGACCCGACAGATTCATTGCTGTGTGATGGTGTACTACTATTCGCACCTATTCCCGAGATAAGTACTGCGGTAACTGCTCAATCTACCTAAGGTAGCCTGGGCTGTTATAGTGTCTGGGGAGCTCAATCGCTCTAGATAAGGTTTGGCTAGACCATGGTATCATACAGCAACAGCTAATTAGTAAGCTGTCAGATTACTGTATATAAGTCGATTGATTAGTGGCCGTCTCTTTTGCTCTAGGTTCCTTCTCTGAACGTAGCTATAGCTTCGCCCAACCACCCCCTATCAAACATGTGAAACTCATCACTTACCTTTGAGTTCCAAACCATCGCTCGATTGCATCATCTCTAACCACTCCGAGTCCAGCTCCCCAAGGTACTTGGCTATATGGGCTCAAGCCACTTACATTCATTCCCTGCATCCTAAAAAGACTCAAGCCCGCGCTGCCGAACTAACACGTCCAAGAATGACGAGCAGATTATTGGCGAACTTCAATTCAAATTAGTCGAGACCGGCGTCAATGGGTGAGAAAGGAGTTGCATTCTTCCTTGCTGTTTCAGGCTCGGTCCTGTTGGTGATAGGCCGAAATAGCTGACGCAAGGTACCTCGACGGAAGCCTGCTCAGGCAGCAGCAAAGCCACCTAGCTACAAATGGCCACTATGGAAACCGACAGCGATGCGCACTCTCCACACGTCAGCGTCGCAGTCCTCAGGCTCACGCCCAAAACTCAACTCTATTCTCCAAAACACACACTCCACTCACATCACAATGTCAGACGAAATTGGCCACGTATTTTTGACGAGGTTCTGGATCTTCCAGGGCCTCCTTTCCGCACCGACCTTCTTCATCTTTGGCATCTGCATCTTTGCGAATCTCTGGGACTCGTATGCCGGCGTCTATGACTTTGTCTGCGAGTTCTTCAACTGCCTCCTGGCCGGGAGCATCCTCTTCATCATCCTCGTCCAGCGCTCGCTCCCGACGGCGAGCAAGACGCTGACGTACCGCTTCGAGCTTGTCAAGTCGGTCCTGGCCACGGCAATGTGGCTTTGGTTGATGTGATTGCCTGCTGCCCCTGACCTGACTCGTCAGCATCTGACGCGCCACATATAGGCTCGACTCCATCTTTTACAAACGGAGATACTACAACCCAGACCTCTACTACTACCGCAGGATTATCATATCCGCCATCTCCAGCACCGCCCTCTTGTAGGCTCTCCCAATGCAATAAATACATGCTCATCATCTGACCACCTGGCAGCATCTTATTTTACCCCACCGCCTTGTACACAGCCTACGTTGTGCGCAAAGATCGACGAGAAGGCGGCGAGGAGTCGGCAGAGGCGGCGGCGGAGGAAGCAGAGGGGAGCCGAGATGCTGATGAACGGGCACCTCTGCTCCCGAACGAGACTGTCTGAGCCATGACCGAGACACTTGTGGGGCAGCAGCATCCCCAAAGCCTAGACGTAGGCGGCTCGAAAAGGAGGGCTGAATGGTTAGGTACCTATATATGCCTTGATTACTATACTGCTTTATACCGATATTTAGACTTGGGCGTGGTAAATTGAGTAAGTCTCGCTCGTCTTGGGCCGTCCTCCTCTTGCGCACCGGAATCACAACTGGTGAAGCTCCAAGCTCGAAACAGCCGGGCTCGGGGCCGAAGATGAATATAGCTTCGGTATACACTGCAACACAGCATGCCAGTAGGTAGCCTAGGTATCGAGCTCACGCTATTTTCCGTTGCGATACTCTACAGCCCACCGCAAGCACGGGACTGACGTCAGTACTAGCTTCCATCATACACACGTACAGGTCCAGCCCTATTCCTCGCCCCTCACGCCCTGGCAACTTGGTAACTCTGAGAATACAGGGCAGTTTGTCCTGAGTAAAGGTACTACCTCCCCTTTAGAAACCACGGGTGGGGCCGCCCGTGGGAGGGGGGTTAACCTCGTAAAATCTCGCATCCGTGGGTATACTAACACAACACAACCAGCCAACCAACCGACCAAATCCTTCCCTGTTC